TCGGCTTGTACTTGCATTTAAGAGACATTACATGAATTTAATTTTCTTGCAAAATTCTTCAGGTCAATCAGCACGAGACATTTCAATTTGTAAAATATTTGCGTACCTCCTCATTACTGCTCACATAAAGTAAATAACTGCTGGGCTACAGAAATGCACCTCAGTCCCACAGTGTTCATACCTTCGTCTGAGGTCCTCAGCAACGGTTGCTCGGCAGCTGAACAGGTAGGCCCGCAGTGACTGGAGCTGCTGACGGAGACGCAGGACTATGCTCAGAGGCTCACAGTGTTCGTACAGACAGGGGTTAAGCTGCTGGATGTCCAGCAGTGGTTCTTCATACACAAACTCCAGGAACTCCTTGGCCTGTTTGGACACCTGGAAAAGTTTACATTAAAATGACTGCATCAAAGACCACTGACATATGAGGGATAATCCTGAGCTCAGACTTTAATGCTTGACAAGATAGAACAAGATAAAACCTGGGTGGCTAATTTTATTTACCCCCCGCCCAGAGCTGCAGTAGCCATTTTCTGCTTTTTCTATTAATTGCTAATAATGTGGGGGGCTGGAGTCAGTAAAAGAAGTATGGTTGGCTAGTTGAAAAATAATCCCATATTGAACACAAATCTAAGACCATGCTTTCTGGCAGTAGCTTAATATTTAGCGTACAGATGTGATAGGATCAATTTTTCTCCAGTACTTACTGGAAACCTGCAGATCTTTAACAGTAGTTTTACAGTAAACTATAAGCTAAAACATGACAAGGCTTTTTAAGCCCCAAAGACCCTCCTCTAATGATTCTGCATTAAAAATGTGTTTTTTCTTTCATATTTCTGTGTGTATGCTTTCATACCTTGTGCTTGCTGGTGTCCCAGTTGTGCAGCAGGCGTGCTGGGATAAGGAAAGAGTTGTCCTGATGGCAGCTTTGGCAGTAGTACCAGCCACTATAGTAACAAACCTTCGCCTTTCCTCTGGACAGACCAATGGGACGCTGACAACCTGAGGAGGAAGTCATTGATGAGTATATGTGTGCCGTCAAATTTGGTACTTTAGTGTGTCTGAATGCTATCAGGACAACTCAAAGTCACACAATTTGCTTTTCAGTCCCAAAACATTTGAATCCAAAAGTGTTTTTTTATTGTCTCTGACTCACATATCATCAAATTGCAGCTTCGCTAAAGAGATCCATATCTGTAGCTGTATTTGTTATCATGGGCTAATTAGTATTGCACACACTTGGTGTTAAAAGTGCACTGAAGCAGACAAAGACGAGCCCTGAGAGAGAGCACAAAGGCTGTAATGCAAATTGGTTGGTGTTAATATGTATCGGTTTATTGCCCCACACTAAATGCCATGCTAATCCAGCCAAGTAAACCTGTAGATAATAAACAAGATAGCCTCTATTTGACAAGATGCTCTGACCCCGATAAGGTAATCCA